AGTGCCATGTTGAATACATCATGTTCCTACACAAACAAACTTATGACACAGGAATGTGCAGATTTACTTTACTACAGGCTGTGCATACACAACAACAACTGACACAAAACTACATGATAAGGTGTAGGTAGGAATATTTATAATGCCTTTAAATAAACATCCTAATGAATCTAAACAAGTGTCACGTACCTGATGGGAGACTGAATTGATGAGGTCGGCCTCACTTGTGTAACTAGCCCTGATCCCGCTGAGGTTGGAACAGAGGGAGTCTAGGGACCAGGGGAACAAGAGCGCCAGTGGTTGTTGCTTGCGGCTCTTGTGGATAATGACCTTGGTAGGCAGAGTATCCTCTGATTTGGGCACCGTAGAAATAGACCAGGCAGGTTCTGTGGATTGCCAGATGTGCAGCAGAGCAAGGTAGGTAGCCGGGACATAGGACTGGAGCAGAGTCAATGATAGCCGGGGTCATAAACAGTCAGGCAGCGCGGTACAGAATCAGAAGGAAAAGCCAAAGTCAGGAGCCGAGCCAAAGTCAGGAAGCAGGAGAGTAATCTGAGTCGGGTCAGGAACAAGCCGGTTCAGCAACAAAGGAATCGTACATGAGCAAGCAGGACATGGGGGGAGCTGAAGACCAATCAGCACTGAACCTGAGCAGAGGCACTCCTTAAATGGCCCGTCTGGCGCCGATCTTCGCCATGCGTGTGCTTGATCGCGCATTCCTGCGCTCATGCGCACAACTGGCAATTCTGCGGGAATTCCTATGCGCGTTCCCGATCGCGATTCTTCTTGCCGGAAATCCCTTACAACAAGATTGTTCGTTCATTCAAAGATGCTGACAGATTTTGAGATGCTTTTAAAAGTGCTTTACTCTTGCAGGCAACCAGTTATTGCTGCAATTTCTGTTTGTCAAACTGCAGCTACTTGAATTAGGACAATAAAAAACCAACACAATCCTGTATTTCTGGACTGTATCTTGACAGAGCAGTTACAGAAATTATCTTTTGCTTTGCTGTTTTGTGTGGATGCACTCAAACATGTCATGACACAAATCTCCAGAATGGCTTTGATTTCTGTTTGCAGGTCTAGAATCTCTAGCTCAAAGCCTGGCCACCTGAAGCTGCCTGTAAGACACCTCACACTTAAGCCCTTTGAAGAAGGCCGTCTTTCTTGAGGCAATTGACAAATGCATTAACGATATCACAGGAGGAATGGTCCTTTTTTCCCAGTGGAGGGTTCCAAAATCCCCTTCTTCAGGCACTTCCAACACCCCAAAATGCAGAACACCTCCACACTCTATCCAAGCTTCAACTGCTAAGCCAAAATTCAGCCCTTCCCTTTCTGTGAAAAAGTCCAACAGGTCTTCCCCAAAGATCTCTTCGCAATGATGAAATGCCCTCACTCCTAAGAGTGGGGAATGTCTTTTACAGTTTGCCTTTTTCTGGTCCTAGATGTGTGGGTTCAATCAGTGTTTTCTCAGAGTATTTAGATGAATTTCTTCTTCCAGCTATCTGCAATGTCAACAGGACTATTCAGATTCCTAAGTATTTTTGTTGGGTAATCAACTTTCAGAAATCCAGTCTCTGACCTTCCTTCGCCTGGTGTAATTTTGGTGTCATTCTTGACTCAGCCCAAGCGAGAGTCTTTTTTTTTTTTTTTTTTCCAACTGGTCTCTCAGATCTCGCGTTCTAGCTTTGAGATCAAAGAAGCGGCCCTCTGTGAGAATGTCCATGAGAGTTCTGGGCCTGGCCGCCTTCAGGGTGGTTCCATTTGCCTAATTTCATTTCAGACCTCTCCCAACAAAATATATTGCTGGCATGGAATACGTATGCTCCTTTTCTTGATTTTGCCTTTTCTCTTATCCAGCCAAACAAGGAGCTCCCTAGATTAATGGATTTCCAATCCAGCCTTGCACATGTGGAAGTCGTTTTTATCACACACTGGAAGATACCAGCAGATACCAGGCTGCGGTGAGGTGTACAAATCTCTTGAGTTCAGGGAACATTCAGACAACGCCACAGCTGTGGCCTACATCAATCACCAGGAGTTGTGCTCCCTTAAAGGAAGCAAGCTTGATAATTTCATGCACAGAAAAACACTGTCCAGCGATCTCTGCTGCCTGGTCCATGCAGTGATGACTGCTGTAAACCAAGGGGAATGGGTCCTTCACTTCAAACACCTTCAACCTGATATGCCAGATGTAAAGTTCAGGGTAATTGATACTATGGCGATTTGCTAGGATCACTTGCAAAGCCAATTTTTACAAGCAAGTATTTGTCCACAAGGAAAACACAACAGTTCTTTCAGCAGCTAACTCAAATACCTTCAAATTGTTCTAAAGCCTAAACATTTGTCCCTAATGCAGTCCTTTCTTTAAGGTAAAAAATGTTTAGGTTAAAATATTGCCCCCTCATCCCCTAATAGGTACCTGAGCCAGATTTCGGTCCAGAATTGTGCACAAGAGCAACAGCTCCCTCCTCTTCTCCATGCTCTCACAGGCTTTGCTGCGAGCATCAGGAGTCATAGGTTTCCTCTGCTGTCAGTCAAATCCTGCGGTGAGGGAGTGGGGTGCAGGGCGGAACCTTGCTTTCTGTGTCAATGGACACAAGCAGTGGTGTTCAGGATTGAGCGCGCAGATGTGCCATGATAGGCTTCCTATGGTGGCACACCAAGGGGAGGAGGAGCCAGGAGTGCCTGCAAGGGACCTGAGAAGAGGAGGTTCAGGGCCGTCCTGTGCAATTTCATTGCTCCTGTGATATCTTTAATGCATTTGTCAATTGCCTCAAGAAAGATGGTCGTCTTTAAAGGGTTTAAGTGTGAGGTGTCTTACAGGCATGCTGTTCATACTCACTCAGTCACTATGGAATTTGTTTTCTGTATTCTGCAGAAAATCTGTTTGATTTGTCCATTCCCCAATGCAGCTGGGAATTTTTCAGAGCAGTATTGACAGCTACTGCACATGCTTAGTTTTCAGTGAGTTTCTTTGCTGAGCATTTCCTCCCTGATCAGATATGAGCAGCCCATGCGACTATAGTCATTTACAGTGGTAAATGACAACCCACTCCCTCCCTTCTCCTCCATGCCCACTAACCAGCTAAACACAATAGGGGTTTGAAATTACTAGTGGTGCACCGAAATGAAAATTCCGATGCTGAAACCGAAAATTTAGGATGCGCTTGGCCGAAAACCAAAACTGGAATGGATAGTTTTTAAAAATTAATATATTTTTCTAACAGTTTGGGAAAAAAATACTACACTTTCATTTTTTTTGTAAAATATGAAAGATGATGTTAGGCCAAGTAAATAGATACCTAACATGTTATGCTTTTAAAATTGCGCACACTCATGGAATGACATCAAAGTGTGGTACTTAAAAATCTCCATGGGTGACACTTTGTAACTTTACACTAGTAACCTGTATACATTTTTAGAGGAGATCTAGTGCTAGAATTTTTGCTCTTGCTCTGACGTTTGTGGTGATACCTCACATGTGTTGTTTTGAACACAGTTTACATATGTGGGTATGACCTATCTAGTTTTGACTCCTTTAAGTTCTCATTCCTCATTCTTCACAAGGACGAAGTCTTGTGCCCAGTGCAGTTTGATCGAACAGGAAACTTTCTTCCACTCACAATAATATTAATAATTAAAAAAAAAAAGGAATTATGACCTACCTGTAAATTCTCTGCATTGCTTGCTTCAAAGCAGAGGACTCATGGAGTAGGGTAGAGTTATAGTGGGGATGCCCAGGGGTCAGATCCTCAAAAGCTTTGCAAGTGTCCAGTCATCTGAAGAAACCAGCCTATAACTTGGGTTTGTTTCCTATACTGTACTAAAATTTATGAAATTTAGAGCAAATAATTTTTTTTTTTTTTTAAAGAAGAAAATGGCACTTAGGCTGCTGTCACATTGATCTGTTTTTCTTCTGCTTTTGTATAAGGTAAAGAAACGAAAGAAAACCAATCAACCGTTGTGGTTCCGCTACTTTTAGTAAAATCTTGCTTTTAATGAAATCCTGCTTGCTGCATTTTTGGTGCAGGTTTTATGCAGAAAAAAAAAAAGCACACATCCCTATTGAAATGCATGGAAAACGTGGCAAATTGGCTGCGAGCGCTGATCAGATGCTTGTTTTCCAGCATGTCCCTTCGACCTGCTGAATCGGTCGTTATTTGCACCACGTGTACCTAGCTTTAGGCCAAGATGAGAACTAGGAGGGGTAATTAGACTCCTTGAAATAATACAGGAAGTGTGCAACTCTGAATTTCTGACATGATCAAAGACCATTATTTTGCACTTAAGTTAAACAGATGAAATGCTTTCAGTGATTTGAGGCCAAAAGGGAGCACATAAACAAAGTACATTGTTGGGTTTTGCATACATGTTAACTATTTGCTTTGTAGGTTGTTTCTTTGTAGAGTTTTATAAAATAGAGACTAGGTTGCTTCAGCTGGGCCTTTTGGCCCTGTTCACACTTTGCCTTTTAATCTACAGGCATGGCAAATGAACCTGAACAATTAACATGTATTTCCAGACAAAAATATTTTCCTTGTTTTTGATTGGGTGCAGTAAGTGACAGCCAATAATATAAATCTGATGGATATTTTTGTTTTCTCCTACTGTGTTAAAAAAAAAAAAAGTGCCTGTTGGAGATTTTCTCATGTCTTGTCTGGTGTATCCTTAACATGAAATGAGGGGAACATTTTCTAACTCCTGAATGCCATAAACACCCAACAGAGTTTATGCTCTTTCCCTTCTTTGATTAAAACTAAAAATCAAAAAAGGTTTGGACATACTTTAAATATACAAGTCTTTTTTTGATCTCTGATGTATAAAAAAAAATATTTACTTTCTTCATCGCACAGTCAGTTTTCCCCTTTTTTATGATACTGCTTTAATTAATTTTCTCTCGTCTATTAGGTTAGAAACTTAGTTATACACTTTTTGGGTAGTCTCTTTTATAGCTGTATAAATGTGTTAATATTATCTTTTTATTTGTCTTCTAGGAAAGAAGCAACATAGATCCAACTCAGTCACGTCCCAACCCACCTGCATTTGTGCAAGGAATGATCAGTATGTACTCAACTCATTTTTTAATTTCATATTAAATGTCAGTGTTGATATTTTACTTTCACATTTGGTTTTGTGTAGTTTTAGGAAATTTGTAAAAAAAAAAAAAAATCTATATATGGATTTATCGTACAGATTAGGTTTTAGTACATGTGCATATAACTCACCCACATTTGTGAGACTTACATTTTTTTGCTAATGTCCTTAGATGGATAATTGTTTTAAATTTCATAATCTTCTATTAAGATTTGCTTATTTCCTGAGGCCATCCAGCATTTTCCGGATCGAGTCATTGTTTGCCTTAAGGGACCGTACTCAGTCACATTGCAGTGGGGCAGGCCTGTAATGTAATGCTTGCTTTATTTAGCCTGTATTTAGCCTCAGGGTACTATATAGCTCCAGTGTTGTGGTCCATCTCTATAGTTCCCAGACCCTGAAAACACCTACAGAGATAAGCCCACCATTACTGATAAAGCCTGGAACCTCAGCAGGCCCAGCGACATGGACAAGTTAAGACAGGTTTCCTTGTAATTTGTACTGTTCTGACTGCACAGCCCACAATGCATAGCACACAAAGGCTGCCTATGTGCAGGCAACGGCAGTTTTTCACTTTGTGTTAACCCCTATTATATTTGCATATGCCGCCTCCATCACGGAAAGTATTTGTTTAATTTTAAATATGGTGAAATTTTCCCATCCAAGCTTTGTCTGGAGATGATTTGTTGCAACACACCACCTGGCTGATGCAATTCTGCCAGCCATATTGTCTGATAACATGCACACCACATTTGCAATATTTCCTGCTGCCTTTTGCTAAGGAGAACCAGCCAAGGAACATGGTCAGTGCCTGGGTTATAGCAGCTTCTGTATTCCGAACATGCAAAACCTCATTCTTCCACATACATTCCATGAGTACCCACTGGAGATCCCCTCAATTAGCAATGGCAGAACATCGGAGCAAGGGAGCAGGGACAAAAGGGCATACCGTATTTGCCGGCGTAAAGACGACTGGGCGTATAAGACGACCCCCTACTTTTCCTGCTAAAATGTAGTGTTTGGGCTATACTCGCCGTATAAGACTACCCCTCTTCCAATGTACACCAGTGGGAGGAATAGTGCCCCATCATCGGTGTCAGTGGGAGGAATAGTGCCCCATCATCGGTGTCAGTGGGAGGAATAGTGCCCCATCATCGGTATTAGTGGGAGGAATAGTGCCCCATCATTGGTATTAGTGGGAGGAATAGTGTGGTATTAGTGGGGGAATAGTGCCCCATCATTGGTATTAGTGGGAGGAATAGTGCCCCATCATTGGTATTAGTGGGAGGAATAGTGCCCCCATCATCGGTGTCAGTGGGAGGAATAGTGCCCCATCATTGGTGTCAGTGGGGAGGAGGAATAGTGTCCCAACATTGGTGTCAGTGGGAGGAATGGTGTCCCATCATTGGTGTCAGTGGAGGGTGGAATAGTGCCCCATCATTGGTGTCAGTGGGGGGTGGAAGAGTGCCCCCCATCATTGGTGTCAGTGGGAGGAATAGTGGGGGGGGGGGGGGGGGATAGTGCCCTATCGTTGGTGTCAGTGGGGGGGGGGGATAGTGCCCCATCGTTGGTGTGTCAGTGAGGGGGGGATAGTGCCCCATCGTTGGTGTCAGTGATCGTTGGTGTCTGGGGGGGGGGGAATAGTGCCCCATCGTTGGTGGTGGGGGGGGGGGAATATTGCCCCATCGTTGGTGTCAGTGGGGGGGAATAGGAATAGTGCCCCATCGTTGGTGTCAGTGGGGGGGGGGGGAATAGTGCCCCATCGTTGGTGTCATCGTTGGTGGGGGGGGGAATAGTGCCCCATCGTTGGTATCAGTGACACCAATGATGGGGCACTATTCCTCCCACTGACACCAATTACACTTGCTGACCCTGTTCTTGTATGGTGCTGCTGCAGCCAGCATATGTGGTTGCAGCAGCACCTCTACACTGAACACTTACCTGCTGCAGCCGCGCGAACATCCAGTGGCCGAACTGAAGGAGCAGCCACGCTTCCTGGACCGGATCGTCGTGGGACCGGAGCCAGGTAAGAAACAGCCCCTGCCCACCCCTGTACTTAGTGTCCCTTCCATTGGAAGGGGGGGGGGGGGGGCGGCGGCGGCACCGCGCCGCCCCCCTAAAAAGTGTCAGTATGCCGTATACCGGCGTATAAGACGACCCCCGACTTTTGAGAAGATTTTCAATGGGTAAAAAGTCGTCTTATACGCCGGCAAATACGGTAATAACGTTCTCTGCCAGTGGATTACAGTAAACGCAAAACTCCACTCAGGGTAATTTGCTGTTCCCTTGTCTTGGAACAGTGTTCTATTTGACACCACTCTCCACCTCCTGATCTTGGCTCAATGTCAGGCGCATATAATGTGTCAAATCTAGAGAAAGAAAAGCCGATTTCTCTGCCACTGTGTCTGAATTCTTGTAAAAACTTTCAGCATGCTTAGAACTTTGTTTTCCAAAAGTCAAAAGCACTACAGTGCCTCTCTCCACTCTGACTCATAAATCAGATTCTCCTAACCTGTTGTATCTATAGGTCCCATGCAGTGGACAGAAAGATTTATACTCAGCAGGCTGCTGCTAGAAATCGCCACAAAGATGTAGGTAGGAATGTGTTAAACAATTGCTGCACTGCAGCTTGGGAATCTACTAATAGTGTATAATTGGTGCTGTGCCACACTCTCAATATGTGATCATACCACACACTTGATGAATGAAAAGAAAAAATGTCCCTTATACTGTGATTGAAGGCTGTATGCACCCCCCTTTTGACAGGAGCTCAATTCATCCCTGTGGTTAAGATATGTGCATTGCCTGAAAAAAATGCATAAATGCATGTGATGTGAAATAGTATTATGCAGTACCTCATTAGTTCTACCAACATATAAAATATTATAAACCAAACACGAGTGAATAACAGAATAAAAAAAGTCCCCTTGATAACAATAATCTTGGAGCACCCAACACAAGATTTTTGTTATCAAGAGGATTTTTTATCACTGAGTCACATTGAATGTGGAAGGTGTTTTTTTTAACACTGGGACTTTATTATTGCATTTACGTTAGCACTTGTATTTGTTCACTGAGATACCAGTTTGTCAGAAGGGTTTGTTCTTAACTTGTGTTTGGTTTATAATATTTTATATGTTGTAAGTACTATTGAGGTACTGCATAATACTATGTCACATCACATGCATTTATGCATTTTTTTCAGGCAATGTACATATCTTCTTAACCCCAGGGATGAATTGAGCTCCTGTCAAAGAGGGTGCGTACAGCCTTCAATTACATTTTATGAACGTTATAGGGAACATTTTTCTTTTCATTCATCAAGCGTGTGGTATGATCACACATTGAGAGTGTGGCACAGCACCAATTTTACACTATTAGTAGATCCCCAAGTGGCAGCGCAGCATTTTTTTCTTTTTTTTAACACTCTCCTAACCTGTTGTTGAAATTCATAGTAACTGAAAAGAATGCAGGTGTTATAACAGAAGCTGCACAATATTTTTCAACTCCTGCATTTTAAGAGACGCAAACTATGGCTTCTCGCCAGTTGTACTTAACTATATGCCCACGGATACGGTGCAAAATAGTTTTTTTTTTGCCTAGTCTAGCAGCACTTAATTCTCCACAACCCAAACGACCTGCTATTTCCTAGAACCTGGACAGGAGCTGGGGCAGCATTTACTGGAACCAATCACCTGTAATATTCCCCTGCAGCAGTTGAAATCCGGCTTCTCTTCTCCCTCCTGCCAGAATTCAGCTGCTGCAGGAGGAAAATAGAGGTGATCGTTTACAGTAAATGCTGCCCCTCCTGTCCAGGTTCCCCTTCCTTCTGCTGCCCACCTTCATACTCCCCTAGTGTCCCGGCCCCCTTCCTTTTCTGAATTAACAGTGAGTTATTGGTACCCATCACTTACTGTGTTCATAACTGAAGTATGGTAAAGTGTGTTTACTATGCTTCAGTTTGTGAATGAACAGGGAGACTCTGCAGAGCACTTCTTGTATTTTCATTTTGTGCAGCTGATGATGTAGAGATGGAGATTGAGGACTGGACCTTAGTATTTTTTCTGTCTCAAAAGTCAGGGGTCTGTTTTAGGGTTGCACCAGTATCATTGGCAATACTATCCGTATGCATGAGTAACCGTACTCGTGCAAATACACCGATACTAAAAACCGATACCTTCAGGCTTGGCTCTCTCAGCCGTCACCGGGATTCCCCCGCTGACAGCTAAAATGTAAACAAAAGAATACCAGCAATTATTGGTTAAGCAGTGGGACCACCGCATCTTTAACAACTGATGACTCATCCCTTATCCTGCAAACAGGCCCAACTGCAGTTGTCCAGCTTGCATTCAAACATTTGGGTGCAAGAGGTGGTTTCTCAGGGCTACAAACTGGATTTTGGCTTACTGTCCCCTTTTCTGTTTCCCACCTCTTAACTTTTCTGTGTCTCCGCACAGTTCAGAAGATCTCCACTGAGCCCTTTCTGGGTCCAGGTGGTATTGTCCCAGTTTATGTGGCAAAACGGTTCCAGGAGTTTTATCTCAAACTGATTACCATTCTCAAGTTCAAAGGGGGAATTTCCAGGGTTGTGGAAAATTTTTTTTTTTTTTTTTTTATAAAACTACTTGTCTAATGGACAAAATCGGGGTCCCAATCTGCTTGTCCTGATGATAAAAAAAAAAAAATGAAGAGCTGATTTTTTTTTTTTATTAGACAGAGGTGTTTTCAGTAATGTCTGTGGCTTTTAAAAACAAAAGGGACTTTGTCAATTTAACCATTTACCCCCTTAATGGCCAGGCCACTATTTTGCTATTCGACACTGCACTATTTCAGTTGGTAATTGTGCGGTCATGCAGTACTGTACCCAAATGAAATTTATGTCCTTTTTTCACACAAATAGAGATTTCTTTTGGTGGTATTTGATTACCAATGGGTGTTTTTATTTTTTGTGATCTAAATGAAAAAAG